ACATTTATATGCATTAAGAAGTGATTACCACAGTAGGTCTAGTTCCCATATATCACCGTACATAGTTATTACAGTATTATTGACTATCTTCCCAGCTACACTTCACATCCCCATGACTTATTTATATTATTACTAGAAGTTTGTACCTCTTAATCCCCTTCACCTATTTCATCCATCCTCCCACTCTTCCCTCTGACAACCACCAGTTCTCTATATTTGTGAGATTTATGACTGTGTTTTTGTTTTATTTCTTAGATCCTACATTAAAGATTTTTTAAATTATTTGAAGAAATTTGGGCAAAATGAAAATGATCAAAGAAGAGATGAAAGGATATTTATGACAAATTATCAATAGTTATTGAAAACCAATAAAAGACTAGATAAGATGGTGAAATTAAAAATGAGTGTGCTCATGACCTCTTGTCCCTGGTGTTCTGTCACTGGGTTAGTATAAATCAGAGGCTCTGAAGCATCTCAGTAAATGAGAGCAGCATGCATTGACCCATTTGGTTTATAGTGATTCTCTCCAATTTGTGATTTCAATGAAAAATCATTTAAATATGGCTTTGGACTGCACCAGTATTTTCCATGTCATAATCAGAGCAGAAACTAAAAGTTACAAACCCCCGAAGAAGTGCCTGCATTAACTCCTGATAGGATATGTCCATTTTTAGGCTTTGATTATTGCAGTTAATTTTCCATTCCGATGGACTAATGAACATTTGGTATATTGATATTGGTGTTTGGACTGGTTCTGCAAAGCGTATTTTGAGTTAAGTATTGTAGTTCTTCCTCCCGTACTATGCAAAAGGCTAAAGAGACTTAAATTTTCAGGTGCTACTTAACCAGCACTGTTCTAATTAGAAATCATACTACCTCCTAAGGAGTTGGTAGTGATTATAAAACCATGCGTTATTTTCTCAAGAAGATAAAGGAACCCAAGACAATTGGAGGTGGATCATTTCCTGAGTATGGCTGCATCTTTGTCCCCTTCACAGTCCCCAGTGTAATCCTTTAAATTGCTCAAAGAATTCTACTTCCCTGGTGCCCCCTGGCCCCACGGACTCCCAGCCTCTTCCATTATGGCTTTCCTGCTTCCTCTTTTACATTTCACTCACTCCAGAAATGCTCGGGGTGCCAATATAAAGGATACAGAGTGTAGCAGTGAAGAAAACTGCAAATAGTCCAGTTTAAAAAGACAATCTCTCATCCTAAAAAGAAAACAACCTTGATCCCACATCTCCCTCCACAGCTACCTTATTTCTCTGCTCCCCTTTTCACCAAAACTCTTGAAATACTTGTTCTTATTCAGTGCCTCTATTTCCTTTCTTCTCATTCTTTCTTGAAACCACCACATTCAGCCTTCGATCTCCACCATGGCACCAAACTGATCTTGTGAAGGTCATTGGTGTCTTCCACATTACTCAGCCCAATAGTCAAGTCCTCATAGCCCGCTGCCTGTCAGCAGCACTTAAACAGCTGATCACTCTTACTTCATACACTTCTTCACCTGGTCTTGGGATGGAATTATCTCTCACCATTCTCCTCCACCTGAATAGCTGTTTTTCTCTGCCTTGCTGGTTCCTCCTTTTCTTCCTGATCTTTGATTAGTGAAGACCTCCAGGACCCAGTTCTCAGACTTGTTCAATCTATAATTGCTCCCCAGGTCATCTCACCCAGCTATTCAAAAGATTATGATCCACATGGTGTTATGAAACACACTTCAAGATATATTTTTAAGTGAAAAAAGATCAAAGGTGGCAAGCTGGATGTGTGCAGGAATTTGGAGTGACTGACAATACAGGGATACAAAACTTAACTCCTATTCTGAAAGGCTTGGGTACAAAATAAACCAGGAAGACACATTAAAGAGCTGACAATGTAGCCCCAACCAGTAATGTTTTTGCTAATTTAACTGGAGACAGTTAAAAAGATGAATCAGACATGCATCCCATCCTCCAGAAATATATAGTTAGCTGGGGGGAGGGGGGTGAAAAATAAATAGGGACAAAATAAGGAAGAAAATGGTGTCACCAGAGAAATGAGAATTAGGATGTATCGGAGCTCGGAAATAGAGCAGCTTTTAAAAGCTTGATGAAGCTGAATTATTTGATTTTTTTTACTTCATGTTTTTAAAATAACATTTCCTAATTTCCCCTATTATCAAACTAAAATTTCTAAAGTTTTCTGTCTCTTATCCATGCTACTCTCTATATTCTCAATCTTCCAATCAGAGTGGAAAAGCTTTTTTATTTAGAACTATTCTTCTCAGGTGCCTAGGTAGCTCAGCTGGCTAAGCATCTGACTCGATCTCAGCTCAGGTCTTGATCTGTGAGTTCCAGTCCCACATTGGGCTCCACGATGGACTCCACACTGGGTATGGAGCCTACTTTAAAAAAGAAAAAAAAAAGAACTACTCTTCCAACAAACCTCAAGAACCCAAGAAAAACATAACTTAGGATTAATGTTTGTAGGGAAAAAAAAGAATTTTATTTCATGTAATTAAGGAGAAAGGGGTCAAAATAGAGAAATAAACATGTTGGCCACAGGGAGAAATGTAGAGAGGTTGCCCCAAGCTGATAGATGGCTCAGGCGCAACCTAGGTCTGTAATTCCAAAGCCCACACACTTTCAATGTTACAGCCTGTCTCAGATATAAATGCAAGTTTAAATTGACTATAAAAGAAGCAAAAATAACCAGGGGAGAAGAAACATTTAATGTACAAGAAAGACTGTATTGTTGGTCGAGTAAGTCCCCTAGAAGAAGTAGGGAAACAGGAATTTCAAGAGGGTACATCTATAGAAATGCAATAAAAGCACAATGAAAACAGAGAGGCAAAATGATTCTCATTTCACTGCAGAAAGATAAAGACTGTTTTAAAAACAATTTAAAATTAATAAACCCATTTGGTCTTTAGTGAAATAATTTCTTTTACTTTCTATATCTAAAGAATAAATGGTAACCATCTCCCAGTCTTCTTGATTTTTGCCCAATGGGCAGAAGAAATTAAATCCAGAGCTAGAGAGATCTCACCCTGGCTGGAGATTTTTATTCCTGCCCCCTGACTTCCAGTCCCCAGTCCACCCAAAGACTCTCACCCACTCCATTCTCCATTTCATACATGCCTCACTTGCTCCTGCCCTAATTAAAGAATGTCTGTTAAGCCTAATCCACATCAATCTCTGTCCCTTATAACTGCCAAAATGCCAGTTGTCTTTGAAGTTTTCCTGGACCTAATCCAACAGAGAGACAAATCAGAGGATTTGATCGATGTTCTGACCAGCAGCCATTGGTTGTGAATATTCGTATGTGGATTTTGATTGTCTTGTTTTCATGAATATATATTCACATTTGAGTTTACAGTAGTCCCCCCCCTTAACCATAGGAGATGCATTCCAAGACTGAATACCTGAAACCACAGATAGTACCGAACCCTATATGTACTATGTTTTTTCCTATACTTATAAACCTATGATAAAGTTTATCAGTTAGGTACAATAAAAGATTTTTAAAAACTAATTAAAAAAAAGAACAATTATAACAGTACACTATAGGGGTGCCTGGGTGGCTCAGTCGGTTAAGCGTCTGCCTTGGGCTCAGGTCTTGATCCCAGGGTCCTGGGATCGAGCCCAGAGTCAGGCTCCCTGCTCAGCAGAGGAGTCTGCTTCTGCCTCTCCCACTGCCCCTGCCCCCCCACTCATGCTCAGTCTCTTGCTTTCTCTCTCCCAAATAAATAAATATCTTTAAAAAAAAACAGTATACTATAATAAACATTAGGTGAATGGGGTCTCTCAAAATATCTCATTGTGCTGTACTCACCTTTCTTGTGATGATGTGAGATGATAAAATGTTTATGTGATGAGATGAAGTGAGGTGAATGATGCAGGTTTTGTGACTAGTGTTAGGCTACTATTGACCTTCTGCGGATTCGTCAGAAAGAGGATCATCGGCTTGCAGACCATGGTAACTGAAAGTGTGGAAAACGACACTACAGATAAGGGGGACTGTCGTATCTTTTTTTTTTTAATTCCTTACAACTATGCATTCAATAAATGTCACTATCTCTCTGATTGCCCAGTTTAATCACAGCTATCCAGAAGACAGACAGATCATAGATGGTAGGTAGGTAGGTAGATAGAAAGATAGATAGATAGATAGATAGATAGATAGATAGATAGATAGATAGATGATAGATAGATGATAAAGATAGAAATTGAAAGAATACAAATGTTAACAAAAACTAAACACATTTTTTTTAATGTGGAGTTCTTTGAGCTTGGTGATGATGCTGTTTCACAGTCAGTTTACTGTATTACTCTGAGAACAATTCACCATAAACATCAAAGTAATGTTATATGCTTTTTTTTCTCTCTTTTCTCCAAAGAAATGCAGTGGGATATGTAAAATGTCAGAAATAATTAGACAAAATCACACAATTTCATTGTGACACTAAAATATCTTTGGAGTTGAGCATTTGCTATGAAACTTTAAAACTGCTTTGAAGTCTGCTTATTATAAACAATATAATATTTTTCTTTAATGTCCCAGAATTTCTAAAGTATGATACAAGGTGAATATATGTTTCAAAATAAAAAATAATTTATGTATAAATGTATAGATATTAATAAATATAAATAAGAAAGTAATTCAGGTGGCAAGATAGACTTTAAAGTTGGTAATGTTTTCATGAGAAAGAGTTGGGGAGCTTAACTTTTTAAAAAATTTTTGGTAGCTACACCTGTAGTTAGCACAGCATAAGGATTTGTGAGTCACTATGTTGTATACCTGAAATTAATGTAACATTGTGTGTCAACTATACATCAATTTTTAAAAAGTATCTTTTGAAGAATCATGTAAAAGTGAATGTTGTACCCAGAGATAAAAAAGAAAATTATATCGAAAATGTGTAAAGAATTTCTGAGTGCTGAAATACGGTAACATTTTCTAGGGGGGAAATATATGACTTTTCATTCACTAACCAGTAGCATACTATCTTCCAGGAACCCTCAGAAGAAAAGCTGTGGTGCTTCCTTTTACCCATACAAAATGGAACATAAGAAACTACATAGCTGAAGAAACTACAGTCTTCTTATAAATGAGAGGCATTGAAGTCTAAGTAATTTCCTGCTGAGGGAAAATAACCAGCAGCTTTTCCACAGTGTAGATTGAAACAGGGAAAGCATGAATATCACTAACTGTACCACAGAAGCCAGTGTGGCTGCAAGACCCAAGACCATCACTGAGAAGATGCTCATTTCCATGACTCTGGTGATCATCACCACCCTGACCATGTTGCTGAACTTGGCCGTGATCATGGCTATCTGTACCACCAAGAAGCTCCACCAGCCTGCCAACTACCTGATCTGTTCCCTGGCTGTGACAGATCTCCTGGTGGCAGTGCTCGTCATGCCACTGAGCATCATGTATATTGTCATGGACAGCTGGAAACTAGGGTACTTTATCTGCGAGGTGTGGCTGAGTGTGGACATGACCTGCTGCACCTGCTCCATCCTCCATCTCTGTGTGATTGCCCTAGACAGGTACTGGGCCATCACCAATGCTATTGAATATGCCAGGAAGAGGACCGCCAAGAGGGCTGGGCTGATGATCCTCACCGTCTGGACCATCTCCATCTTCATCTCCATGCCCCCTCTGTTCTGGAGGAGCCACCGCCAACTCAGCCCACCTCCTAGTCAGTGCACTATCCAGCATGACCATGTCATCTACACCATTTACTCCACACTTGGGGCATTTTATATCCCCTTGACTTTGATACTTATTCTGTATTACCGGATTTACCATGCAGCCAAGAGCCTTTATCAGAAAAGAGGATCTAGCCGGCACTTAAGCAACAGAAGCACGGATAGCCAAAATTCTTTTGCGAGTTGTAAACTTACACAAACTTTCTGTGTGTCTGATTTCTCCACCTCAGACCCTACCACAGAGTTTGAAAAGATCCACTCCTCTATCAGGATCCCTTCCTTCTATAATGATCTAGATCACCCAGTAGAACGTCAGCAAATCTCTAGTACCAGGGAACGTAAGGCAGCACGCATCCTAGGACTGATTTTGGGGGCATTCATTTTGTCGTGGCTGCCATTTTTCATCAAAGAGTTGATTGTTGGTCTGAGCATCTATGCGGTGTCCTCTGAAGTGGCTGATTTTTTGACGTGGCTTGGTTATGTTAATTCTCTGATCAACCCTCTGCTCTACACAAGTTTTAATGAAGACTTTAAGCTGGCTTTTAAAAAGCTAATTAAGTGCCGAGAACATACTTAGATTGCAAAAAGCCAAAAAGCATTGTTTTTACCAGCCTTGTGAGTGGACAGAGGAAAGGGGTTCAACTTATTAATTCTTGAACATAGTTGGTTCAGAAAAGTTTGTAAGGTAGTGTGGTCTTTTTGTTTGTTCATTTGTTCCGTTTTGTTTGAGGTTTGTTTTCTGGTGTGCCGTTTTCTACCTCTGGTTTTATTTGTGGTACATGATTTCAAATAAACATCCGACAAAGAAATTTCATAGACGTAATAATAAGGTGAAATAGTAACTACTTTTTTTAGCCATTCAGTTAATCCTGCAATTAAAGAATGCCAAAATAAATCTTCACTTGCAGAAGTTCTTATTACTTATAAATCAAATACCTGATAACTTGCCCTCATGTGGCATTAAATCTGAGGTCATGGCTCCATATGCGTGCAAATTTTAGTGGGAATTGCATGACTACATAAAGCATTAATAAAAAAAAAAAGTGGTACACTGTCATCTGCTTGCAGACCTGAGCTAAAATCATTTACTGTGACTACATAGGCCACTCCCTTTAGGCACAAATAGTACAGCTATTATAGTTCATGATTAAATATGCTTCCTCATTCTCTAAAAAGAACCTGGAATGAATACTCCGGCACTTTCGTAGGTCTTTGACTATGAATATGAAACATAAACAAATTCAAGATAATCTAAATCTCCTTTAGTCCATGTGTTGTATTACCTGACAGGCACATTGGACGTCTTGCCATTCTGAGAAGTGTCCCACTGAGCCTTGCACACACTCCCTCACTTAGAAGGATTCAGGTGGGAGTACAAGCAGCTTAACAGGGTAGAGTGATCAAATGAAGGAATATATTATCTGAAGAGCTTTGTTGGAGAATGTTACTTATTAAGTTACCAGTTGTGCACTTGGCAAAACCATTAAAAGTCGAAAATTTATGTTTACCGCAAAGGTCACCCATCGAGGAAATGAGTATGAAATTGTGTCCCCTGGGATCTCAGTGGCTTCCATGCCAGACTGCATCTTGGGGCCAGGAGGCTGCAGATGGGACCTGACCTGAGGCGACAGCACCTCGCCTGACCTGGGTTGACTGCTCTAGTCACATGGAGGAGCTTACCACTAAGTCAAGAGGATGACAGGGACGCCTGGGTGGCTCAGTTGGTTAAGTGTCTGCCTTCAGCTCAGGTCATGATCCCAGGGTCCTGGGATCGAGTCCCACATCGGGCTCCTTGCTTGGTGGGGAGCCTGCTTCTCCCCCAGCCTGCTGCTCCCCCTGCTTGTGCATGCTCTCTCTCTCTGACAAATAAATAAATAAAATCTTAAAAAAAAAAAAAAGAGTGATGACAGAAGGGAATGAAAGTTTGTAAATTCATGTACGCTCTTGAGTCAGTGACTATTTTACACCTCTTCTCCTCGTCTCATCCACAGCTTCTCCCCATCTCTTCACTCTCCCCAGGTCATTTCTCTTCTTTGTTCACTGAGAAGACATGAATTTGCTCCCTCTCCTCCATGTTTTAGCCTTAAATCTACGCCCTCTAATCTTTTCTGTAATCTTGCACGTTTCTCCTTACCCCTGACTCCTCTCCTCCACTGCCCCCCTCCTGTCTCCACCCCCTCTCTCCTCCTCCCTTCTCCCCTCTCTTTCTCCCACCCCCTTCCTCTCCCCACTATTCTTTAATCTCACCTATGAGTTTGCTCAAGTCTCTCGGACACTAATGTACATTTCCTCTGGCCCTACTTCCCACTCAAGAACCTGCTTCATCTCTCTCCTGGCTCTCCCACCTGAGTTTCTCCACTCATCAATCCTTCATTCTGCTCACCTCTCACCTTCCACTGACTTTCTTATCCTGTGCCATCTGAGTGTACCCCTCCTAGCTCTCCTGAAACAGATCTCCCAAAGTCTTTGGTGACTTGCCAGTAGGCAAATTTAATGGCCTTCCCTCTGTCCTTATCTACTTCCCAATCTCTCATCAGGTAGAATAGCTAAGCATCCCTTTCTTGTTTAAGGCTGTGACTTCCAAAATACATTACTCCCCTGGTTCTCCAATCACCTCCTCATTCTTTGTCTCCTTTTCTTCCTCCTGAGGCATTGTCCTCGGCTCTTACCTCCTGTATCTCCATACTCCATCCCACCCCATCACATGCCTGTGGCTTTTCAATTTGTGTCTTTAGTTCTGATCTCTTTCTCAAACTCCAGACCCATGAATTATATCCAGTGAACATCTCCCTATGAATAGCCTGTTGGTTCCTCAAACACAGCTTTTCCAAACTGAACTCATGATCATTTTTCCACACTCAAACCTTCTCCTCCTTCCCAGTCTCAGATAACAGGATTACCATGCTTTTTATCATTCTTATTAGATAAATGTGATCCTCTCATGGCTTATCTCTCACATTCAGATAGTCTTAAAGTCTTATCCATTTACCTCTACAGAAATATTTGAATATGCCCCTTTCTTCTCCAATAAGCTGGTCCCCTCACTTATTCCAAATCTTCTCATCTGATCCACTTACCTCTGGAGTCCTTCACCTGCAACTCTGCCCCCACATAACTGCACATCTATTAGATATATCTTCTAGAACAGTGGTTTTCAGAGTGGCAGCTCTGGACCAGCAGCATTAGCATCATCTGAGAAGTTGTGAAAAATGCAATGTCTAGAGCCCCACTGAAGACGTACTGAATCACAAATTCAGAGAGTAAAACTTCTATTTTAATAAGCCCTCTAGGAGATTCTGGTTTGAGAATCACTATCCTCAAGCATACCACTGTTTTTTAATTATAATACTCATAATCCTCTACTATTTCCCCATCAGTTTAAAATAAATTAAGAGGGGGCCTGGGTGGCTCGGTCGTTAAGCGTCTGCCTTTGGCTCAGGTCATGATCCCAGAGTCCTGGGATCGAGCCCCGCATCGGGCTCCCTCTCAGCGGGAAGCCTGCTTCTCCCTCTCCCACTCCCCCTGCTTGTGTTCCCTCTCTCGCTGTGTCTCTCTCTGTCAAAATAAATAAATAAAATCTTAAAACAAAAAAAAACAAATAAAAAAAATAAAATAAAATAAATTAAGATTCCTTAGTATAATATTCAAGGCTCCTTCACTACGTGACTTTAAACTACCTTTCCAGAGTTGTGTCTCACCACTTCTTCTCACCCACCTCATACTCCAGAAAGTCTGGATATTTTCTGGGTTTTCTGAGCTCCCCTAACAGTTGATCCCACTGCTTCAGATTCCACTGACTCCACGGCTTTCCATTCTTCTTCTACCAATTCTTCATGCAATCTTGCAGCACAAATGCAATCTCTTCTGTAAAGTCTTTCCGAGAGCCTTCTTCCTTCTCTATCACTGTGAAAGTCCTCTCTCCCAGCTCTATGCTCCCATAGAACCTCATTTCTATCACTATTATTATATGCACCCTATCTTATAATGCATCTGTTTGTGTATTTCTGCTGTCTGCCCTAAAAGATTGTGAGCTCCTTGAGGGCAGGAACCATGTCTGCTTCATCTCTGTATCCCTAGGGACTCCTACAGTATTTTACATAAAGTAGGCACTCAATAAATGTCTGTTAATATGAATGGAATTATGTCCCTGGAAGAGAAAAAGTCAATGTGCCATCTCCTCCCAGTGAGAAAACCAAACTTCTAAAATACCATGGTGAAATACTGACTTTCTTTCTCCCCAAAACTTACGTTACTACTTCCCAATCTTGTTCCAAAAACTGCTTAAAATAAAGAGCTTCCACATGGAAAAAAAAAAAAAAGGATTGCCTGCTGAATATAAATTAATATACTTTATTCAGTAGGATTCAGGCTAAGCTGCTCTCAAAGAAGGGGTCCTCCAAATATAGTAGTTCGAACAAGATAGTTTCTTTCTCCCTCACATGACAGTAAAGAGGTAGGAGGGCAGCCCAGAGTGAGTAGGAGACTCTGCTCCACAACATTATCCAGGACAAGATGGTTCTTCCTTCCTCTCAGGGCTTGTTGTCATCTGCATGGCCAAAGCTGACTAACCATTACATCCACATTCCAGTCCATAGGAAGTAAGAGAGAGAAGTAGAGAGCGGTTTCCTTTTAAGGAAGTTATGTGGGTCACATAACTTCTGCTTGTACTCCATTGGCAATAATTGGTCACATGGCCACACCAAATTGTAAAAGAGAATAAGAGAGTAAATCTCTAGCTGGGCAGGCACATGCCTTGCTAAAATTGAGGACATTATAATAAAAGGAAGAAAGAGAGAATGAATACAAGGGAACAATGAACAGTCCACCTCAAAGGGATATTGGTTTCTGTATGTACAGCTCCTATATCTCAGGCAAGTCAATTTGCTACCCAGTTCCTGGTGACCTATGTATGAGGATGTTGAGGTTTAAAATATGGGTGACTAGACTGAGATTGTGCGTACGCTGAAAATCCAGTATTTATCATGATTATATCTCTAATATCTAGAAATTATATGAGCAACTCACTTGCTTTCCCATCATCTTCCACATGTCATCATTGAAAATTCTTGGCAATTTTAAGCATTTTAAAATGTTAAGAGTCTAATTAAATAAAAAACAAAAAACAGATGCATAAGTAATTTTCACTTACTCATTTTTACTAACGCATTTACAATTTACTAGATAAGTCCTAATTAAATGCAACTCTCTCACACCTATCTTTGCCCTTAGCAAAGAAGAATCTATATCTATTTCCTAATATAAATCAAACCCATTGGGAAAAAAAAAAAATCTGTTGTTTGGTTTACTCATTTAACCAGTAGTGCTAGCTGGTATTGACCGCCATTGCTGCTTTCAATTAAAACTTGAGTAATGGTTCCTTCCAATATGGTTAGTTTTTCTAGTGTAAACATTGGAGGATTAAAAGTAAACCCCAGGGGTGACATTTCAAACACCCCCATTAACTAATAAATTAGGACTTCCTGATTTGTGTACCTGGTAAAAAGAATTCTTGGATATAAGTCACTCCCTTGGAGACCCGGTAGGTGTTTGGTTATAACTGGTAGCAATAAGAACCCCTATGAGCATTGCTACCACTATCTGCTTTGGATAACTGTATAGCTTCCTATACATATGAATTTCAGTTTGCAAACTCTGATACATATGTATCAGGGAAGTTCCAGAGTGAGGTTCAGCAACTGTTCTGGCTACCAGCACAAGACATCCAGCATCATACTGGTCTGTCTACTGTGTGTTTGCTGTGTTTGCTTGGTTTTTAAGGTCTTCTATACACCACAAC